CATTATTTCCATCTAGAATAGGAATTCCAACATCTTCTAGACAAAATTGCTGCCACACATCATCTAGAATTAGCACAGAGTTGCCTTGCCTCAACCTTTGTGAAATCAATCCTGCAGGCTTGTTTTCATTCTCATGATCCTCGGGCTTCAGTTCTAATCCCAAGCTACTTGCAATCCTTTTCTGAAACTTGAGAATATCAAACTTCGTTTTTTTGCTGGACAATAATGTCAAAGTCTCTTGACACTTTTACCCAAATAACTTTGTTAAATTTGGGTTCTTTCAACAGTTGGTTGTTAACTTGCTTCATAATTGTTGTCTTGCCCACACCGCCCATTCCTGAAACTGCAATTCTTGTAACCTCACCTCCCTTCAACCATTCCAGAATTTGATCTTGTATATCATCCCTGCCCCTGCATTCATCAACGAGTTGCGAAACTCCTTTGATTGAGTGATCATCTATGACCAAACCCTGACTATCATTAGTGTAATTTTCTCCTTGCTCAAATATTTGCTTCAATTCTTCAATTTTTCTCCTGAGGTTGGAAAGAGAGGAGCATCCCCCTTGGTTGATTAGATCTTCAACCTTTATGGGAATTTGTTGGCTTACTTTCTTCAACCAGTCTTTAACTTCCATGCTTGCAATCTTTCCAGGCTGCATAAGTTGAGTCTCCAATTTTGCTTCAATGTCTTTCTGTCGGAGCTTCAGCTGCTCTTGCCTTTCTTCAAATACAGTTGCCCAATACTCAATTGAGGGAGTATCTACGACCAAACTCTCACCAGCACTAGTGTACTTTTCTCCTTGCTTAAATATTCCTTCTTCCAGTGATTGAGTCCTTTCATCGAGCTCTCTTGAGGAGAAAATATATGTGAAAGGGCCTCCTTTGTAGATTAGATCTTCAGCCACTTTTTCTGCAGTTTCTTGGTCTGCTTCCTTTAGCCAAGCTTTAACTTCCTTCTTTGCAATCTTTCTAGGCTGCTTAAGCTGAGTACGTAGTTCTTGCTCAACATCTTGCCGTCGGCGCTTCAGCTTTGTTTGCATGTCTTTGAATTCATTGACATAATGATTGTGATGTATCTGATAGCTGACATATTTCTTAACCTTAGGTACAACATCCGTCACAATATCCATGACCCATTTTATGTTGTCCATTAGAGAGTTCCTGCATTTATGAAATTGTTGGATATAATTAAGCTAATTATGCCTTAAATGAAAGAAGGATAAGAATAGAAGTGTTTAGGAGAAAAACAACTCGAGTTGGAAATTAATGGTGGAAGTATCATGAATGACTAATTTATTTGGTTTTTATAAATTTAGTAATTATTAAAAATTAAAAATTTATTTTAAAAAAGTTTTAACATGATAATAAAAAGTATGAACTTGTTTAATAGTATTAAAATTATTTTTATTTTTTTCTCAATAATCTTACTAATAATTTTTT